ATCACAGAGGATAGTAGATTGAAATGGGGCATATATGGAAGCAGGGAGAGAACTGGGAGATTTTTTACAGTTATCCAGGTGGGAATTTGTGAGAGGCTGGATTAAGGCTTTTGACCCAATGGGAGTGGAAAAGTGGTGATGGTGTTAAGAGATAATAAGGATTTTGTAGTTATAAGACTTAATTGGGTCTTTCTTTTTTACTGTTGTAATCTCAGTGCTTAGCAGTGTTTGACACATAGTAGACAGTTAATGTTATGAGTGAATGAACTTGAGATCTACTCATAAAGATGGGAGAAGGAGGAGGTTTCTGGTCTGGGTAAATCAATTGATGGTGCTGTTATCAAACTGAGAGAGAAGATCAGCCAGGAAGAGGAATGAAGAATTAGTTCAATTTTGTATTTCAGATTTGATGTGCTTTTGAGACATTTGAGTGGAGGTGCATGAGTCTGGAGCTCCAGAAGAAGAGTGGCATGGAAAGGCAGATTTGAGAATCATCAGGCTTCTGTGGGAATGGATGGCATTGTCCAGGGAGAGTGTAAGCGAGGAGGAAAAAAGAAGTCTGGACCCTGGAGACCCTGGGGAAAACCAGCATGTGAGGGTTTTTGAAGGAAAAGGAGAATGAGCAAACATATTCAAAGAGTTAGAAGGAAAACCAAGAGAGAGCAGTGCCCTCCAAGCTAAAGGAGTTTAGTTTCAAGAAGGTCAGGGGTGTCTGATGCTGCCAAGAGGTCTTTGAAGAAGTGAGTGGTCGCTATAATATTACCTCTATGAGAGCAGGGATTTTTGTTGTTTTGATCACTGTTGTATCCCCAGCATTTAGAACAGCCTGGCACATAGTAAGTGCTCAGTAAATAGCTGTTGAATGAATGAATGAATGAATTGAAAAGGATCCTTGAACTTAGTTACAGAAATACAGGACCTTGGGAAAGGCATTTTCAGAGGAGTGGTGGAGAAGGAAGCCAGATTATCGTGGACTGAGGAGTAGATAGGATGTCAGGAAGTGGGTACAAAAAGAGGACTAAGGATGACCAACTCCATGAGCACTGTCATGTGCCGAGCACTGAGCCAAGCACTTCACATGCATTAACTCATTTAATCTTCCCAACAGCTCAATAAGATAGGTGCTGTCATGATCCCCATTTTACAGATGAGGAAACTGCAGCCCAGAGAGGGAACATAACTTGCCCAGGGTCCCACAGCTAGAAAGTGTTAGAACCAAAATTCGAACCCAGATCTGTCTGACTTTGAAGTTCAGAACCTAACTGCTCAGGCTACATTTCCTCTAGAGTTTGTTTGTGACTGCAAGGTGAGAGAAGGAGTGACTGAGATGATGTGGAGTTGAGACCAGGAAGACTTGCAAATATTTTAATGCCGATGGGAAAGAATCAGCAGAAAAAATAATTTGAAGATGTTGGAGAAAAGAGAAACAATTTATACCGAAGGAGCCTGAGGAGAGATCCAGAGCACAGGTGAAAGGGAACCCCTTCCGTCGAGGTAGCAGGAGGCGAAGGTAAAGCCCTAGTGTGTGCTGCAGATATTTTTGTCAGAAGAGGGGAGAGCAGGGGAAGACGGGCATTCTCTCCTGATTGTCTGCTGAAAGTAAGGGAGGCAGTGATCAAGTCATACACTTGAAGAAAGTGGTACAAGTTTGAAACAGCTGTTGCAGAAAATAGAAAAAAGCAGTGGTAGAGATGGATTTTCAGGGCAGCATTGAGGTCCCAGTCAAGATGAGAGATCCTGACTTTACAGTGGCCCAACCACGCTGTTATGTGATTTTTCTCCCTTCCCTCCCATGGGGCACGGTAGCCAGGATTAGGTGCACAGAAGGCAGATGTTAGATTGATCCAGGGTTGAGGGTTCTGTCCACTGGGTGCAAGAGAAAAAAAAAAAAAAGGTTGTTGAGAGTATTGGTAGACTGTGTTTGAGATGGTGAATCACCACATCTATGCCAGCAGGGAAGGAAGTGAAGATGGGAGAGGACTGAGCACAGAAAGGTGATGGAAGGGTCATTGTACTGGCTTCTGGAGAAAGTTCAACAGTGGGACTTGGGTAGTAAAAGGGCCTCAGAGTTCCCTTGTTCTCAGAGTTCCACATCCAGAGCGGACCTGTCTGTCATGAACAAGGTTAAATTCTGCTTAAAAAGGGATACAAGGGTAGAAAACTAACAGCACTTATCTCTTCAGAGACGGCACTGAGGAGGGGAGCTAAAGATAACTTTTATTTTTTTGTTGTGAACACTTCTGTACTGTTTGAATTTTTTCAGTTCTTAAATTTAAAAAAATACAAGCTTTTCAGTGAACCCAAAGAAAAGAGCAGGTTTGTGTGAAAGCAGGGGGATGAGGGAGCTGCGGAGATAGGAGGCAGTGGTTGAGGAATGGGACCCTAGAGTATATGATCTGTCTGTGGAACCAGAAGTATTGGCTCTGAAGAGGAGGGGCTGGAGTCTGGACCCACCCTGCCCTTGTTTACAGGCAAGCAAGTAGGAGCCCGAGACTCATGCAGCTTGGCAGTGCAGAACCAGAACCAGAACCAACCTTTCCTGATTCTCCAGCTCGCTGCTGTTTTCCATGCTGCTTCCTGAGCACTTGAGGCTTTAGAATTTCCTGCCATCCCACCTGGGCTCATTGTGAGCGTGCCCATGAGACTGCTGGCTGATCGGGCTGTTTGCCATGCCGTGCTTCCCACACCTCTGTCCTTCTCAGTGCAGGGTGTGGGTGTGTGCAGAGGCGGCTGGCCTGTCCCCTGCTTGTTTCCTGCTCTCTTCAGAGTAGCAACTTGGAGGCGGAAAACTCCAATGATGACACTCTATTTACATCCTTTTAAATGACCCAGTGTCCCTCCTGTTTTGCCAGCTCTCACATTGCTGCCTCCTCCAAACCCTCCCCCTCATTGCTTGTTCAAACAGCAACCATGGCTCTGTCTCTTCTTATCAGCTCAAACCCAGATGAGTCACTGAGAGCACTCAGGACAGGGACCCTTCACCGTAAGATTGGTAGCAGGAGGTGGAAGGGTGAGCCCTTAAATTAGGGACATTGTTTTAGGGAAAAAAAATCCTTTCTTTTCATCAGATCTTCGAAGGAGTCTGTGGCCCTCCCCTCTAAAAGACTATGGATTTATAGAAGGGAGTGCAGGGTGTTTTAGAAAATAAAAATATAATAGTAACAATAAAAACAATTAGATTTTTTTTTTTCTTGCAAGTAATAGTTCAGATAAACCTGGTATTTGTGCACCTCTCTTGTCATCAGGGCAGTTACCGTGGCAGTTGCATATGGATTAGTCGTGATTTCTCCTCAATTTGTGGACTGAAGTCCAGAGGCTAAACACTAAAGCTCAGGACTTTTGCCCTCTTTTGAGTGGCCACTTGGGTAGATACGCAGGTGGACTCTGCACGATGACATTGGAGCTCTGTGATGTGTAGGGTGGAAGGGGACAAGGAGGCAGGGGATGAAGACACAGTCTCGGGAGGAATGTTCTTCTGTAGCTCTTCACCCCTGCCCCTCAGTTAAGCCCTCCTTGGTCTTGGGTTTGCACACGTAGCCTGTCTGCCTGGGGAGCTTGGAATGACCCTACAGATTCTGCTTTGAGAGTGGTCTCTGCCCTGAAAGCCTGGTTGTCTTTCTCTGTTGTGAGGGTGATTTTTTAGGGTTTGGAATAGAGTTATGAGTTGGCCTGGCCCAGAGTAGCCTCAAGTTCCCTTCTCCCTGCAGAGTTTAGGCAAATATTAGAGTGGGGCTACAGGGTCTTTACTGGGAGGGGAGAGCATGTGATGGTAGGAAAGGGCCTCTGATTGGCTTGCTTCGTGGCGGAGCTGAGAGCTGAGATGCAGCCATGTGGTGGTGCTCAGGAGGTTTGAGCAGGCTTGTTTGGGATGGTTCAAGGCTCTTGGGTTCCTTCTGCCTAGATACGGATAACATTTGGGATTCCAGTTTGGTTCTGAATCCTCTCTCTGTGCTTTCTGCCAGGCTACCCTATTCCTGACCTTGTAGTTCCATAGGAAGTCATGGATGTTGTGGTGCCAGTGGGGTTGCATGTGGCTCCATAAAAAAATAGAGTGAGTTCATTGAGGTTCAGGCTTGGGGTGGTACAATTATAAACCCCCTGAAGGTCATGGAGAAGAACCGGTAGGAGGGTGGGAAGAGACAGCGCATTTGTATTTTGGCTTTTTTTTTTGCATAGACTGGGATCTGTAGGACTATATTAGATAGTGGGTTGGCTCATACTGGGTGGCTTTCCACTGTTGGGCAGAAGTCTACCTTAGACAGACAACCTGTTTAGGAAGCGGAGGGAAGGAAGCAGGATGGGCCGGTGACTGGAGCACCAGCTGGATCATCTCAGGCCCCCTTGCATAAGACAACCTCCTATTATCTGCTCACATCTAATTAACAAAATTAGAAACTCTTCATCCAAAGCCCTCAAGAGCAGTGCTTCTTCATGCGCCAGTCTGCAGTGAGATGAGAAGCATACGCACCACAGTGTAAAACTGTTCCCTTCATCAAGAAAACCTTGTTAGGAAAAAATATTAGAACTAAACAGAGTGTTTACTTTGACATAATTGATTTACATTCTGGCGTCATATAAGCTTCCTATCTAGTGACCAACCAGTAACACGGTCTGTAAATCAGCAGCTAATGTGCAGACCACACTTTGAGGAGCTGCCTCGAGTTGAGAAGCAGTTGTTGAGGTCCTAAAATCGTGTGCTTGGATGGTACCAAGCCAGAAATATAGAGCCCTGGTCACAAAGAGCTGCTGCTGGACCCTGTATACATGGGTCAGGGCTGGTTACTGGGGAGAGAGGGGAGCACAGCCAAAATGAAAAAGTTGGGCGGATGACTAGGCAGTGCCTGTGCCAAGGGTAATGCCTTGGTAATGTCCTCCCTTCCCTCTTACCACAAGCATGTGAGCCAAAGGGGCTAGAGCTAGGGACCCTCCTGTAGGACTTTGTTTTTGCCTCTTGCTTCTGCTGGCAGGTCAGCCACACTAAGTTTACCCTGTCCTTACAGAAAAACAGCATACATTGGAGATTAATTCGTTGGTTATCCATGTGGCCACTCCTGGGTGTGACCAACTTCCTTCTTTGGAGTCAGCAGAGAATTGTAAGTACCACCCTGTTCCCTATTCTAGAAAAGCAAGCACTTGTCTGGAGCTCTGACTCTGGATGGCCTGGCCTAAGTTGCTGATGCTAGGCCTGGAGCCTCCTAGACTGTGGGGACCAATGGTCACCATGTGCTGAGAGCCCTAGAAGGTGAGTCTTTCTTGTGCATTCTAACCAGTGTCTGAAGGCTGACTGTGGAACATCACACTGGCTGCTCACTGAATCCCACAGGACGCTCGTCTTCTGGACTGAGTATAATTCCATTGCCATTTTAGGAATTTGTACACTTTGCTGATTTTTCTCTAAGTGACTCTACAGTGGGGGGAGAATTCGTTTTTAGTCATTTGTACTGAGATGAAGTCAAGTCCCTGTCCTGTGACTGCCTCCTGTCTTCCATGAACAGCAGCATTTGGGGACTTCTCAGTCTCCAAAGCGAACATTCAAGTCTCAGCTTCTCCCTCGCACTCCTGGATGAAGCAGCCACAGCCTGGAGACAAAGGGAAAGGAGGGTGATTATGAAGGCTTTGGGAACATCGTAACCTGGACTAACCCCTCCACATGTCCCTGTCCCCTTCTTCCTTTCAGCTAAGAGCTGGCAGGAAGTCACGTTTCTGGTGGGGGAAACTGACCCACAAAGCAGGTGGTGCTTTGCCGAGGACTCTGCTCCAGCCTGACCCTTGTCACATGTCATCTCTACAGAGGCCCTGGGTGACCACCCTCCCACTCTGGCTCTAGTCCTGCTTGCCCTGCAGCTGCCCCTGCTCTGGGGACGTCTCTTCTTTGAAAGATTTAAAAAAACAGTGATCTTGCTGTTGGTTTTTAATCCAAGGATTTACACAGAACATGTGATCTGTAATCTGAGAGTAGAAATCCTTAACCAAATGGGGTCATTTCTGTCATTTCAGACACTCTAACCATAAACGATGAGCAGAATTTCCTCTTCTCTGAGACTGTCTGGGGAGCTCTCCGAGGTAACAAGGTGGGGCTGTTGTGGGGAGGTAGAGAAAAGGGTGATGTGGGAAGGTTGGCATTGGAGGGGTGGGGGCCCGGGACTGGGGACCCAGTGAATGCCCCCACTTTAGGAAGCTTCCTTTGTGGAGACCATTGGAGTATTCCCCCATCTCCCTGATGGGAGTGTTCTCCTTACAGCTGTCCTAGAAGTTGACAGGCGTCAGCCTGTGCAGTGGCAGCAGCTCCCGCTGCAGGCTGACGCTGAGGGTGCCAGTGGCGAAGAGGGCTGGCTTTGCCACAAACACTGCCTATTCAGCTCTCACTAAAGCCACGTAATTGGAAAAGTTCTTTAAAAAGGAAAACTATATCAAAGAAATAGGTAAATGTCAAAAAAGAGGTAAATAGTAGAAAAATACGTAGAACTATATTTCAGGAGAAAATTAGGACTTTATTACTTAATAAGTGATAGGCCCACGACCTTCTTCTTGGTTTACTGGAAAGGTATTTGGTCCCCATATACAGAGTTAGCCCAATATCTCCACTACTTTTGGTAAAACCTGTGCTGGTGAATGATGAGAGAGAGAAGCCAAAACAGTATTCTAGCAGCCTGCCTCAAATTAGGTGCTGAGTGACCACGAAGGTCTCACAGATCCTTTCATTCTGAAAATTTGGGACTCTGGGAGTCCTTCACGGGGCTTCTGCTGGGTTTTCAGTAGTGGGGCCCCAGCAGTTGGGAATATATAATGCTCTGGACTCAACATGCCTGCCCTTGGGCCTTGCTGGAATCTAGGAGTCTGCATCCAGCAAACTGAGCCGTCCTCTGGGGCAGCTGCTGCCTGTCATACCTCAGCTCCATCTAGCTGGTTCTCCTCTCAAGCTCTGAAGAGGAAAAGTGGTTGATTCTTTGTCTTCTAGGTCCAGCCGTGGACCCAGGCTTCTTGGAAACTCAAGCTTATGATCACTTTCTCACCATTCAGTCTGGGAGAAGTGAAGGGGCAGCAGATTGGGGACCCTTTTCCTCAGCTCCCTTAGCTCCTGAATGGTATTGCCCATGGAAAGCCTTAACCCCTTGCGAGCTGGCATGTCCCTGCATCTCTCCTCACAAGCACACATCTTGGCCTTGCTTCGTAATATTCGTGGGAGTTCAAGGCTTAGGAAATATGGATAAGAGTTATGTGGGTTTTGAGGGTTAGTGTGTTGCTAGGGGGAGCACTGAAACCCCTTACATTGCCACCTCCCAAAATACAATACAGAGTGAAAATAGGTACTGGCTTCCTAGTTCCTCTTTTCATAAGTGTTGAGAATCATCAGGCTACACCACATCCACTTTCCTGTGTGCCCAGGCATTATCCTCTGCCACACTGAGAACCTTCCAAACAGGTGCATCTCTTTTCCCACCTCCCTGAGTTTTTGCTCTGCCTACTTCCCTGTAGGCCTGGAGACTTTCAGCCAGCTCGTATGGAGATCTCCTGAGGGCACGGTGAGTGTGGGCTCTCAAAAAGGGCTCCTTTTCAATCTCTGGGGTTTGCTCCCAATGTTGAGAGTCCTGGAAAAATCTTTTTTTTGCCTTAGACAGAGTCCCGATGGCTTGAGATGGCCCCAACAAGAGTATACAAGGAGATATGGGTGGAAACTGGTTTGGGAGATTTGGCCTGTTTGGAATTACTTAGTTCGTTCCCCTGAGTCATTATTTATTAATGACCTTAGACCACCTTCTTTGAAAAAAGCAAACATATTAACAGTCAGTGAAAATCCAGAATTTGTAGGCTGAGTGGTGTGTGGGACAGCCGTGTTTGGCTAGCGTGAGGCAGTTGCTGTCTAGACTGCCCGCTTGTGGTCATTGAGGTAGAGGTGTGGGGCGTTGGGGAGATACTTACCCTGCAGAACGGTGACAGATTAGCTTTTTGGGCATCCTGGGAGATTTTCCTCATTCTCTTCCACCCCCACAGTGAGTTCCCTTTGAATTCTGACACATTCAATGTTTATTCGGCACAGTTCTTTATCAACAAGACGGAGATTGAGGACTTTCCCCGCTTCCCTCACCGGGGCTTGTTGTTGGATACATCTCGCCACTACCTGCCACTGTCTAGCATCCTGAACACTCTGGTACCCAGGCCTTAAGGCCTTCTTTGCCCTTAGGGTTCTGGGGTGATGGGGCGAGGGATAAACCAGGTACCATATTCCTAAAGAGTTACAGAGAATTTATGTAACTTTATGAGCTCCTGGGGAAAATGTGGAAGATGACCTGCTCTAGGACTCAAAAAAATCACAAGAGTTATTTAAATCTACCCCACTGGCTACTATGGACCAATGTCCAGGCTAGCAGAAGGTGGTTTGGGGAATTGGCTTCTTTGACCAAACCGGGGTAACTTTCATTTAGTTAGGACAAGGTCATAGGAAAGAGATGTTCAAAGCCTCAGCTGGGGACGTTCCTAACTATCTCAGGTTGGATGGGCGGTCTTATCTGACTGTTACTGATCCTTCTCACGTGTCTACCTTTTCCTTTGCCTCTCTGCTGGAACCAAAGGAGTGGACACATCCATCAGTCTTGGCTTCTGAGATTTATGAGTTATGGGACTACTAAATTCCCAAAAGAACTCACACTTTGGTTAAACACTAGTCAGGCAACCCAAAACAAATGGCAGGAGGAAGAATTAGTCTTCAGAGCATTTGGGGGCTTTTGGAAGACTCCAGGGTACACATACCATCCCTCTTCTCAGTGTGGCTAGAACTCATCTCAAAAGGGAGACACCGCTTCTGTCAGCCATCTTTGGATGTGCCCCAGGAAAAGAAAAAATGTTCTGGGTCTTTCTTTCCTCCATGCCAGGCACTCGCTGATAGGAGAGTGTGATAGAGAGACCCTATAAACACTTAACAGTAAGCTGGGGCAGGTTGAGCCTATGGGGGTGTGTGGAGCAACCTGCCAGTGTGCCCAGCTTCCCAAGTTTGACACTGAAACTGGAGAGGCTGAGATGGGTTCACAGTGTGTGCTCTGACCTACAGGATGTCATGGCATACAGTAAATTCAACGTTTTCCACTGGCATATGGTCGATGACCCTTCCTTCCCATATGAAAGCTTCACTTTTCCAGAGCTCACCAGAAAGGTATGTCTCAATTTTTCCAAGACCAAGTTTATAGGTCAGTGTCTGAGCCTGGCCATGGCCCTGCTGGCAAGGACACTGGCTCTCATCCTAACCAGCCAGTTTTAGGGACACACTAACATAGGGGAAGGCTCTGGATTTGGATTTAGGAGACCTGAGTCCAAGTCCAAACTTTGCCATTAATTTGCCTTGTGACCTTCAGGAGATACTCTCTCCTGGTCTCATTCCCTTTTTATTTATTTCTGTTCTGTTAGATGGGCATAATACCTACCTTGTTCATCTCAGTGGCATTATGACACTCAGCTAAAATAATAGATGTGATAGCTTGTAGGAAATTGTGATAAAGTTCCTTGAAGATAGTCTCTGACACCAAACAGCTGTGGGTAGGTTTTCTGACATCTGGGGAGTTCTAGAGGCAGTTTGAGTACCCTCTACTCTGCTAGCCTGCAGGAAATGAGACCCTGAAGTGTGTCTTTGCCTTTCAGGGGTCCTACAACCCTGCCACCCACATCTACACAGCACAGGATGTGAAGGAGGTGATTGAATATGCACGGCTTCGGGGTATCCGTGTGTTGGTAGAGTTTGACACTCCTGGCCACACTCAGTCCTGGGGACCAGGTAAGAATAACATCTGGGGATAGAGGGAGTCTACTGATCCCCCTCAGTGGGGCTTCAGGGCATTGGCTCATGGCTATGGCATGTCCCGGCCTTGGTCCCTAGAAGAATGTTTTCCATCAACTTCTTCCACCTGGGAATTTAGTAGGCAGAACCTACTTTGGGCAAAGAAGGCCACTTCTTAACTATTAAAATATGAGCAAATTCTTCACAGATGTCCTGGTCTTAATGATGCCCTTGCAGTGGAAAAAAGATTTGGCCAATTTGGCTGGATCGGGCTCTCTGCTTTTCTGCCAAAAGGTGGCATGAAAAAAGCAGCCTTTGGGAGCAAGGGTGACCCCTGCTGGAAGCAGTGTGTCAAGGCAAGAGTGTGTGTGTGCTGACAGTTGTCTGGCTTGTAATCCAGCCTTGGACTGTTTGTGATTGTGGATATATTTGTATCTCTTTGATTGTGACTAAACGCTCATGATTACCAGTGTCTGTGAGTGCCTGTGTGTTCCTACATGTGTGTGTGTAATGTTTATGAACACAATTGTCTTACTTTTGGTGACTTAATGTCCTTAAGTATATGACTGTGCGTGGGGGTCTGTGTATTTGTGACACTTGTGTGGGATTGTCTGTTGGCTTAGGTGCCCCCGGATTGTTGACTCCTTGCTACTCTGGGTCTCAGCCCTCTGGCACCTTTGGACCAGTGAATCCCATTCTCAACAGTACCTATGAGTTCATGAGCACGTTCTTCTTGGAGGTCAGCTCTGTCTTCCCAGATTTTTATCTTCATCTTGGAGGAGATGAGGTTGATTTCTCCTGCTGGTATGAGCCCCTTGATCTTCCCAACCCAGCCTGACGAATTTCTTACTCAGAATAGAGGGTGGCCCCTGGAGGCTACCTGTGAAAGGGGCTCCTCAGGCACTTGGGCCTTCCCTCTGCCCACCTACAGAGAGGCCCGCCCTGATTTTGGCCAGACTGTAAATGTGAAACTCTATCTCCCCCCTGTCATATCCTTGAGAAATTTATGGAAAAACCAGCTCTGGGCACAGAATTGTCTTGGAAAAATCCAGGATAAGGAAAAATGATCCCTGCTTTTGAAGGCTTAAAATAGTCTCATTGAAGAGTCAAGAGACAGATGAGTTTGAGACTAATATATGACAGTGTCTAGTTAATATTAAGTTGTAAAGTCCAAACTCTCAGATCTCGTTAGCTCAAAAGAGGTCGAGGGGCTTTTTAGAGAAGTGGGCACTAGAGCTGGATCTAGGGAAATGCTTTGGCTATTTCGAGACATAGAGGAAGGGAAAAACATTCCAAGAGGAAATGTGAGCAAGATGTAGACGTTGTGGGCCAGGGGAGCTGCAGCGGGTGACGTACAGGAGTGCTTGTATCTAGGTGGAATAAAGAATAAATACTAAGGGAAAAGCAGAATATGCGCCTAGGGTGGAGGGCTAGAGAGGGAAGCCAGAATCCAGTGTGCCAGAGCCCCAGGCCAAGACCTCAGAACTGCATGTCTAGTCTAGAGAGACTAATATGTATTCTCTTTGACAGTTTGAACTTAAAGCTCTTCAGTTGCAGACCTATCTATTCTCACCCTATGTCAGTGGCCCCCTTCATATAGCTTTGTTCAGCCACACCTTCCATATTTTGGGCTTCTGAGATCCTTGGTTGATTGGTTTTTCAGGTGAAAAAGGAAATTGTGGGAGGCCAAGTGGCTAATCCTCAAGTTTTGGGCTTTGAGGATGTTGAAAGAATTAATCTTCTTTTTCTCTTGGGATTCAGGAAGTCGAACCCAGACATCCAGGACTTTATGAAGAAGAAGGGCTTTGGTAATGACTTCAAGAAGCTGGAATCCTTCTACATCCAGACGTGAGGAAGGAAGGAGGGTGGGCAGGGTCCCTCGAGGTCACCTCCTGTGGGGTCCTCACTTTGCATACCAGGGCCAGGCCCTGCGTGACCACTCTCTGAGCACCTGAAAGGGTCCTTGGTCCTCTCAAGTTGGGAGTGGTCCGTTCCAACCTGGGGAAGACACTGCTCGATCAGGAATGGGCCTCCAGCCAGGTTCAACCCTAAATCACTGGCACTGACAGCCCAGAGCCTATCTGAACTGAACAGACATTTTCTTTCCTCACCAGGCTGCTGGACATTGTCTCTGCCTATGGCAAGGGCTATGTGGTGTGGCAGGAGGTGTTTGATAATAAAGTAAAGGTGAGCCAGGGGCAGAGAGAGAAGGAGCCACCCGTGGTGCCTCCCTCTGGTCTCCCAGCCCTTCCCCACCTCTACACAGACTGATCCTCCTGGTTTCAATTAGCCTTTAATGTTCAGAGCACTGAGGGCCCATCTCTCCTTTCCCTTCTAGAAAGGTTGCAGAGGTCCCAGCCCTGGATGTGGGTGTTAGAGCCTCTGTCTATCTTCCCTCACTACAAACTAATCAAGAATTCTTTCTGTTGTTAGGTTACTTGGGATTCCTGAGACTGGCATGATGGGTTGGGTTTTCCTTCTTGAGTCTTAGACTAGAGTCTTCCAGGTCTGTGGGAGCAGGGCTCCCTTCTCCATTGTTGATCAGTAAGATCTCAGGCTCCTGCTACATGCAGGGGCTCTTCAGGAACCTTGTCCCATCCTCAGAAACATCTGGAGATTCTTGGACATGGTAGCTCCTGATGAGTCTCCTGGGTCCCACTGCTTGCCTGTCTTATGTCACAGCTAGTATTAGTATCTCAGTGTGAACAGGGAGGCTGTGGAAGGACTGGGAGAGGAAGCAGCAGGGAGCTCTCCTAGGGCCCATGCAATCCTTGGCCTCTGCACTGGGCTAGGAGCTCAATGGTTAGGAGTCACAGAGAAATACTTTGTGGCTGGGGAGCAGAGGGGGCACACACCCCTTGGCCTGGGTTGCCTGCATAAGAATGTGGCCCAGGAATCTCCTCAGCTACATGCCATTACTGCCATTTGACCTTTTGTAACAGGTTCGTCCAGACACAATCATCCAGGTATGGCGAGAAGAGGCACCAGTAAGCTATATGAAGGAGCTGGAACTGGTCACCAATGCCAGCTTCCGGGCCCTGCTCTCTGCCCCCTGGTACCTGAACCACATCACTTATGGCCCTGACTGGGAGAAGGTCTACATGGTGGAGCCTCTGGCATTTGACGGTAACAGCAGGGGGCTCTCCTTCTGACCAGAAGGGTTGGGCTGGGGCACAGGGCAGGAGGCAGGAGGGTCTGGGCTAGACATTTCAGGTTAGGAGATGAAACGACCTATCTGAGGAGAGGGCCACATCGGGAAGGTATTTGAGGATTACCCCCTAGAGGTACCCCATCACCACCTGCACACTCTTTTTGCTTGTTTTCCCTCAGGTACCCCTGAGCAGAAGGCTCTGGTGATTGGTGGAGAGGCCTGTATGTGGGGGGAGTATGTGGACAGCACAAACCTGGTCCCCAGGCTCTGGTAAGGGTTTTCTGCGGAATGGAGGGCATGGGTTCTCCCTTACAGACTCAATTCGGTTCAGCCACCCTCAGACTAGTATTCTCCTGTCAGGCCTGAGAGGGAAGGGGCGTTGCTGTGATCCATCTGTTTGTGTGGAGTGTTCACTTCCCACCCGACTTCCATATGCTCCTCCAATAACCCATTAAGTATGGAGGATAGAGACTGTTATCCCCACAGATAAAGATAACGAGGCCTGGAGAGCGTGGATGATGAAAGTCCCTGACTCCTGTAATAAGACTTCCCTGTGCAGTTTCCTTAGCAGCCCGGTGGGGGTGTGGAGTTGACATTCTGAGAACACCTGCTGCTGCCAGTAACAGTTCAGGTCACCTGTAAGACTTACTCTGGTCCCCATGTCTTTGGGAGAGAAGGAAAGTGGAATCACTCTCCACATTTTATTGAAGATGGAGCTGAGCCCTAGAAGTCCGTGGGCGCCTCCAATCAGGCTGCCACTCTGAGTAAGGTGTTGATCCCATCCCTTAGCCCTGAGCTAGTCCTGGGCGCCTAAACAAGAGACAGTAGCCTGTGGGTGTCCGGCACCCCTGCAGGGAACACAGGGCCTGACCTGGTGTGTGCCCCCTTTCTTCCAGGCCCAGAGCAGGGGCTGTTGCCGAGAGGCTGTGGAGCAGCAAGTTGGTGACAAATCTGGACTTTGCCTCTAAACGTTTGGCAGACTTCCGCTGTGAGCTGCTGAGGTAAGAGGCCGTGGGGCCTTCCCAAGGTGGGTGGGCAGGTCGGGGGCTTGAGACCCCTTACTGACAGGAAAAGAATACTAATAATAGCTAAAACTTACAAAGTCTTACTGTGTGGCAGGCACTGCGCTCAGCCCTTTACAGGCATCATTTCATTGAATCTTCACCACAACCTTGTAAGGTAGATACAGTTTTATCCCCATTTTAGAGATAGGCAACTGAGGCACAGAGAAGTTAAGTAACTTGTCCAAAGTCGCTCAGAACAAGGATTTGAACCAGGCTGACTTGAAAGTCAGTGCTCTTAGCCAAGGCCATGCTTTTATGGGCTTTCATGACACCTGCACCCCTCTTGGGGCTGGGCCTGTGTAAGATGGTCATTTCCCTCATTCACTCATTGACTAGGTCTTGAGGACCTGGGGGACACAGCCTCGTGCAGGGCAGAGTCCTAGGTTGGGAGCCTAGCTTGGTGGAGTCTAGGCCTCAACTGTCTATAATTCACTGGGTGACTTTGAGCTGGTTCCTTACCATCTCTAAGCACGCTGTTTGTTTGGATAATAAAGGCGGTGTGCCTAGAGGTGCCCTAAGGAGACTGGTCCGGTCTTGGAACCTAGGCTGAGACCGAAGGACAGAATTCATGCTCACACCCTGGGCATGGACTGGACAGTGCCTCAGTCCCCCACTGCCACTGCATTTTACAGCATTTTAGAGCCATTAAAGGGTGGCTCAGTGGGCCAAGAACACTGGGCACCCCTCAGGCATCTACCTCTTTTCTAAAGGGACTGAGTTACTTGGAGCTGGGCTACAGAGACAGGCAGATTAGAAAAAGGGAGGTGCTCCCCAAAGTTCCTGGTTGTCCCTGTATCAAAATCACCCAGGCCATTTGTTCAGAATGCAGATTCTTGCCAAGATGTGGCCCTACCCCAAGCAAGAATCTCTGGAAGTGAGATCCCAAGTAATTTTGGTGTAGAGCAGCAGTGTGAGATCCACTGAAATGGGGGAAGGGGAGACTGTTGTTTGCGGTGGGGAAGGTGTTGCCTAAGCCTTGCCCCCTCTGAGTGGCTTATTTTGGCCGGTTTCTTCACGTCTTCCTGCAGGCGAGGCATCCAGGCCCAGCCCCTCAATGTAGGCTACTGTGAACAGGAGTTTGAAGAGACCTGAGCAAGCAGCCCCAGGCACCGAGGAGGGTGCTGGCCCTAGGAGAGTGGTAGTGGGGTTCCACTGCATCCTGGCCGGGGGACGGAGCCCCTTGCCCACATGCCCCTGTACCTGGAGAGAAGGGGTCTGTTGCTGGTGCTGGTGTCCAATAAAGAGTGATGTAGCATTTTTCTATAATGAACATGGATTACCTGTGTAAAAAAACGTTGAGTGGCCCTGGGGTCGGGGAGCTCCCAGGACTGGCCTTCACTGAGAGTAATAGGGCTCAGCAGGGTCCCGCCAGGTTGGGCTCAGTATCTGCCTCTGGAGGGATTTTATAAGCCGAGGGCTGGGAATGGAACCTGTAGCCTTTGTGCTGTCCTGCTCAGCCTGTGAATTATGTGATGTCTCTCCTACCGCCCTCATAGTCCAGACACATATCCCCATCCTCAGCCTCATCACTTCCCTCCAAGTGGGGAGGTCACTTAGACTTCCAAGACTTCTGTATGCAGAATAAAACATTATAGGGGCCCCAGTTCTGGGCAGCGGCAGGGGCTCCAGACCCAACCTGGTCACAGAATGGCCCTTCCCCGTGCATACTCACACACTTTCCTTCCTTAGGGCTTTTCTTCAGCTTTGGGTTTCCTGTTACTTCAATTTCATGCAACCATTACTTAAATATTATTGAACACATATTGTGGTCTTGGCACCATTTTAGGTGTTAAATTTGAAGGACTTGGTACCTAGGCCCCAGTCGACTCCCCCAAATGCCTGAAACTTCCACCCCCCTCCTCCCACCCATTTTCAGCCCAATAGCATCTCTTCAGAGAATTGATGGCATAGTTGAGACCGTGAGAGGAAAGTCTGCGGGGCCAGGAGGTGGGCATGTGGCTCTGGAAGTGGGTCTTTGCACAAGTGACCCGTTTTCTCTAGGAGGAAATGGCTCATTGTGGGCTCAGGCTGCCTCCTGGTGGTTTCATGTTCAGAAGTGACAGCGGAGCCCCAAGGCCGGGGCAGTAGTGGACAGCAATTGTTTTAGATGAGGAGTCCTTTGATCATTATGGAGTTCTTTTACCTGGTCCTGGGCTGCAGGGACGATGGGGAGGTACCAGATGTTTCTTTCAGAAAATTTCCAGCCTGGTGGGTACAGAGTCTTGGGGAAAGCAGGCCGGAGAGGGATCCCAGTAAAATTTGGTCTTTAAAGAGCATCCACCAGTCCCTCGATCATACTCCTTTGGGGACTTGGTTGGAATTACGCCAGCCCTGCCTTCTTGTGCTATTTCTGTAGGAACAGGGTGGGCACCTTCTACCTGCAGAGTCCTCTTGGGGACAGGTTTTCACACAGCCCAGATTAGCCAAGCCCAGGGCTCAGGCCTAGAGAAACACAAGCTAAGGTCTACCATCTGCACCCACCAAAGGAGCCTCCTTCTGTGACCCAGAGAAGCCGTGGGGCGTTCCCAGGCAAGGGCCCTGCAGAAATGCTGCTACACTTCAAATGCCCCTGCTTCCTTCGTGATCATAACTGTCACATTGCTATTGTTTGGGATAATGTTAAATAAAAAGAGTAGACCTAAATTGGAAGTCTCAAGTCAATGAAGGAAGAGACCATGAAAACACTTGTGTTAGAGCAATAAGTTTCTACGATTTCTTATTCCTGTTATAAACATTTTCTTTAATGTTATTATTTTTACAATAAAAAAAAAAATCAATGTGGCCCGATCTAGACTGTCAGTGATGGGATGTGCTGTTCCCCAACCTCCACCACCGTTCCTCTGATCATGAGGGCATTTACCTGAAGATCATCAGCAGACCTTGACCTGCTGATGGGTCAGAGGCGGTCCCCGCAGCGACCACTCAGTCTGTTGCGATGCACAGAATCACTGCCTCCCCACCTCGTCTCCCTTTACCCGGGTTGTGGGTTTAGTGCCCCACCTTGCACAGGGCCTGGTTGTGTTCTCTGTGCACCACCAGGGGGCGGGGCAGTGCCTGGACCGATGTGCTAGCTCCAGTCGTCTTAGGGCACAAAGGGTCCGCCTGTGCTCTCCTATGAATCTGCTAAGGATGCAAAGCAGGCCTAATGGGAGTAAAAGTAAGGGAGTGAATGGAGGCTGGGAGGACAGTCAGCGCCCCCTGTTGGTAGGAGTTGAGGCCATGTGCCAGGTACCCCTCCCTTCTTAGAATCTGGTGTTTTCAGGTGCACGTCAGTGGATTAACATAAGGATAGGACAGCAGAGGACTTGGGAGCACAGGTGCTCCACAGCGCTACTGATGACAGCAAAAGGGTGAGGAAAGCCAAGTGATACTGGGAAAGGGTGAAAAAGGATTGTTTGGATACAGACTGAATTTATATTAGTGTAGATATACATGCCTGGTGGCAACATTACAGCCCTCTAAAGTTTGGATTTTATAGTTTTTGTCAGTATCACTTGTAAGATTAATCAATACAGGCCATGACAATGTATGGTATCATGTACTTTTTTTTCCACTAAGAAAATAAATAGGAATTGGGTGCTTTGTCTGTTAAAATCATTCTGTATTTTTTCCTTTATAAATAAATAAATTCTGAAAGTTTGAAAATTCGTATCCTTTTATACCAACTGTTAATAAATATATGTATAACATATAAATACATATTAACTAATTTCAGTGAAATATTTACTTGCTGAATTTTTTCATTACTATTCACTCTAACTATATACATAAATCTTATAGTCCTCACCGTTGTTTTTAAAAATACTTTTTGAAGCAGTTCTTTGTGTGTGTGTGTGTGTGTGTGTATTTTCCTGCATTTTTCAATGAGATTTTTAAAATGAAAATATCCAGGAACCTTGCTTATTTTATTTTTTAATGATTTCAAGTCTTTCAAACAGTAAATTGTAAAGAATAAAATAATAAACACAGTATAACCACCACCCAGCTTTATCACATCTCAGTAGTTGTATTTGTTTCCGATTTGCTTTTTAAGAGATGAAAGATTATATCTGTCCCCCTTCCAGTCCCAGTCCCTTCCTTTCCAAAATAACCACTTTCTAGAATTTATTTTAAATCTCATTTCCTCTGAAATAGCTGATACTAAGCTGTGATTTCTCTTCATTGTTAGTAAATTCTTCATGGCTCACTTTATAGCAAATTAGAAAGGGACGTTTTGGAAACCAATCAAAAAAAAGGGAGTGTGTGTGAGAGGGGACAGACCAGCTGGCAGGCAGACATGGCTGGGAAGGGGGCGTGTCTGTGCTGTGCTGCTGTGCAGCTGAATGTGAGAGAGCGCATGTTGGGGGTATCTGGATAATCTATGTATTATAAAAGAGAATATATTTGAACGTAGAAATTCAGAGAAAACTATGTGGAGGTTTATCTAGAGTCAGATAAATCAGAAATTTGAATGAAGACATCTGTGGGGATCCATCTAGGGGAACAAAAGCACTTCGTCATTTGTATGTGCCTGCTGTGTCAGGCGCTGGTATAAGCCCTTTGTTGCATGTTAATTTATTTAATCCTCATCCCAACCAGTGAGGTAGGTATCAATATTATCCTCTTCTGAGAGGTCAGGAAACAGGCGTAGAAAGGTTAAATGACTTGCTCATGGCTGCACTGCTAGGCTGAGCCGGGCTTTGTCCTCAGGGAATTTGGATCCAAGCTCACCTAGTCAGTTCTACCCTGTACTGCACCTGGCCGTCGGCCACTGCCCCGCCCCGCACTGCACCAGACATCTTTCTGCTCTTGGACACCACACACGGACACACAGACAAAGCTGGGTACTCAGCTGTATCTGGGCTCAAGTCCATTTCCTCCCACCTTGCTCTTCCTTATGGATGCCTCCTTTCTCTCAGCACACAAATAGGCACGTCTCCCCTGTCTTCACACAAATTCAAAGCTCAGTGCTGCTTTTTCTCAGTCAAGTTGCTGAAACAACTGCGAGTTTTGTCTCATTTCTTTACTTCCCATTCAGTTTGCAGGATTCTGCAATTTGGCTGTAGTCCTCATAAAGGCTGCTTTCACTGAGGCCAACAGTAACCTACATATTGCCAAATCAAGGGACACTTGTCAACAATAAGTAAATCATGATTTGACATTTCCTTGTATTTTGAGATTTGGATCACTCCTCCTCTGAAATTCTTTCTTCCCAGACTTCTGTGACACCATTCTTCCCTGCATCACTGATTTTTCCAGCAAACTCCCATTCCACAACCAATCATGTTTTTAAGGGTTTGTCCTCTTTCTTCTTTTATACTTTCTTCTCAGTGATCTCATTTACATGCAAACAAATCTTCAGCTATCTATCTGTCGTCATCTATCTAATCGACATCCTCTGAGCTCCAAACTCGTCTACTTCATATCACCTGAATGTCCGTCACATACCTGAAGTTCATATGCCAGGCAGAATTCATCTTCTTTCTTCATAGCTCCCCATTCTACTCCTATACCACTATTCTGCTAGTCATTTGGGAATCATATTTAATTCCTTCCTGTCATAATTGCCTTCTAATCTGTCACCAAGTCATGCCCACTCTATATCAATAACTCTTAGATCCATTTACTCCTCACCATCTGCACTGCCACTATCTTTGTATAGACCTGTCACATCTCCCTTCAACTTAGAATGGGATCCTGACACACATGCCTCAAGTCTTCTAGAGTCATCTTTTTAAACTGCAAGTCAGATTATGTCAATTTCCTGTTTTTTATTTTGTTTTGCTTTTTGATTTTGCTGAGGAAGATTAGCCCTGAGCTAACATCTGTTGCCAATCCCCCTCCTTTTTTGCTTGAGGAAGATTAGTCCTGAGCTAACATGTGTGTCAGTCTTCCTCCACTTTATATTTGGGTTGCTGCCACAGCATGGCTGACGAGCAGTGTAGGTCCATGCCTGGGATCCAACCCACAAACCCAGGCCACCGACGTGGAGCGCACCAAACTTAACCACTATGCCATGGAGCCAGCCCCTCAATTTCCCGTTTCTAATTTTTCAAAGTTGCCCCATTGTCCAATTCACTTAGCAGGGTATTAGCATTAGTCTTCCATTCAAGATGATGTGTCTCTTGAGCTCTCTATCATTTCCCGACACTCTACCTGTATTAGGACTCCTTTAGCTGCAAGGAAACAACTCAAACTGGCTTAAGCAAAAAAGATAACACTGTTTCATGTAACAGAGGCCAACAATTATATGATCCTTTGAGTGAATCTAATAAAGACATAATAAGAACTTTACAGAGAAAATTATTAAATTTTTGAAAGACACAAGAAGACTCAGATGTAGATATGTAACATGTTCATGACTGAGAAGACAACATTGTAAGGATTTAAAAATGATCTGTAGAGTCAATGTGAGTCCAATTAAAATCCAAATTTTATTTTTTATTCTTAATTGACCTAACAAATAACAGTTTTTCCAAAATAATAATACTAACAATGTATTTGGTTATTAGACCTTATGGATAAGTGAAATAAATGACAGCAATGTTATAAAGGATGGGAGTAAAGAATTGGGAATACTCTGTTAGAAGGCTCTTCTACTACTCATGAAGCAGTATAGTGTTATTTGAAAGTGGACTTGGATTAGTTGTAAATGTGTTTTACAAACCTTAGAGCAACCACTAAAAAGGTAAAAAAGGAAGTATAACTGATATGCTGAGAAAGGAGAGAAAAACAGAATAATATAAAATGCTCAATTAAAACCATAAAAGGCAGAAAAAGAATAGAAGATAAAAATAGAAACAATGGACAGGAGCAACAAATAGAAAACAGTAACAAATATGCTTGATAGTAATTTAACTTTGTCAATAATCACTTTAAACATGAATGGTCTAAATACACCAATTGAAAGACACAGATTTTCAGAATGGATTAAAAAACAAGACTCAACTACATGTTGTCTACAAGAAACTCACTTTATAAAGACATAGATGGATTACAAGTAAAGGGAGGGAGAAAGATGTTTCATACTAACACTAATCAAAAGAAAGCTGGAACAGCTATATTAATTTCAGACAGAGCCAACTTCAGAGAAAGGAAAATTATCAGGGAAAAAAGGGGGTATTATATAATGATAAAGGAGTTAATTCTCTAAGAAAATAGATTCTTTAATGCATATGCTTTATCAAATTTTGTGAGATACAGCAAAAGCAGTGCTTAGAAATTTATAGCATTGAATGTATATATTAGAAAAGAAGAAAGATCTAAAATCAATAATCTAAGCTTTCACCTTAGAAAACTAGAAAAAGAAAAAATCTAAAGTAAGCAGAGAAAAGAAATAATAAAAATTAGAGGGGGCCAGCCCTGTGGCTGAGTGGTTAAGTTCATGTGCTCTGCTTCTGTGACCAGGGTTTTGCTGTTTCAGATCCTGGGTGCAGACATGGCACCACTTGTCAGGCCATGCTGAGGTAGTGTCCCACACGACACAACTAGAAGGACCCACAACTAGAATGTACAGCTATGTACTGGGGGGCTTTGGGGAGAAGAAGAAGAAAGAAAGTAAAGAAAAAAAGAAAAAGAAAAAGATTGACAGCAGATGTTAACTCAGGTGCTAATCTTAAAAAAAGAAAAAAGAAATTACAGCTAAAATCAATGAAATAGAGGGGGTGGCCCAGCCGTGTAGTGGTTAGGTTTGCGTGCTTTGCTTCAGTGGCCCAGGGTTTGTGGGTTTGGATCCCAGGCACAGACCTACACACTGCTCATCAAGCCATGCTTTGGCATGGTCCCACATACAAAATAGAGGAAGATTGGCACAGTGTTAGCTCAGGGCCAATCTTCCTCAAAAAAAAAAAAAAAAAAATGAAGGAAAGAAAAAAAAGAAAAAGAAAAAATCAATGAAATAGAAGAAATAAAAGTAAAGAAAATCAACAAAACTAAAAGCTGGTTCTTTCAAAAGATCAATAAAATCAATAAATCTCTAACCAAGCTAACCAAGAGAAAAAAGAGAAAATACGAATTACTTTTATCAGAAATGAAAAAGGAACCATGACTACTGATTCTGTAGACATTAAATGGATAAGAAAATAATATTATGAACAACTCTATGCCCACAAATTTGATAATCTAGATGAAATGAACCAGTTCCTTAAAGACACAATCTACCAAAACTCACACAAGCACAAGTAGGTAATCTGAAAAGGCCTATATCTACTAAAGAAATTGAATCAATAATTAATATTGTTCCAAAATTGAAATTCTCTACAATCTCTTCCTGAAAATAGAGGCCAGCATTATCCTAATACCAAAACCAGACACAGACATTACAAGAAAGGAAAACTACAGACCAATATCTCTCACAGATGCAAAAATACTCAACAAAATTCTAGCAAATCAAATCCAACAATGTATACAAAGAATTATATCCATAACCAAATGAGATTTACTCCAGGATACAAAGCTAGTTCAACATTTGAAAATCAATTAATGCAATTCATTACATCAACATGCTAAAGAAGAAAGACATATGATCATATCAACAGATACAGAAAAAGCATTTGACAAAATCCAACACCCATTCGTGATAAAAACTCTTAGTAAACTAGGAATAGAGGGGAACT